GTAGTAGTAGTAGTAGTAGTAGTAGTAGTAATAGTAGTAGTAGTAGTAGTAGTAGTAGTAGTAGTATGCCTATTTTCTTTCATTAAAAAAAAATTTGACGAGCGCCTGATTTCACCACGATGCCTCACATCTATTTTTTCCAGCCCAAACGTCCCGCGTGAACTCCTGTCCGAGTCTGGCGTGGTTCTGTTGTTGTCTGTAATGGACAGAGACATGGTCAAGACGGATGACTTCGCCGGCGAGGTGGTCATCGCGCTGGACCAGGTTCCGGCCATCGGCGTCAACGAGACGGTGGACAACTCGCCTGTGGTCATGATGCCGCTCAAACGGCCGCAACTGGACGTGGAAGGACCTTTTCAGGTGTGTGTGGGGGGTGTGCAGGGTCGTTATCTGGGTCAATGATGTGGTCGCTTTTAAGAACTAGAAGGCTATCCCGAAAAATGCTGTTTTGAGAAAATCGAAGTTAAAAGTTTTTGCCCCTTGTTCAGTTTCTTTAAAAGACAATGTGAGTTTTCTCTATAACCAAACAAATATACGCACCAATGAAACCAAACTTCTATAGGTAAGGCAATGCCCACTTTTGGTGCTGGTCAAGATTTCTGGAGAAAAAACAAACAAAACTAAACTAAATAAACTAAACTGCAAAAAAATCAAAACCCCAACAAAAAACAAACATCATCAAAACAATTTTTTAAAATCAACAACAGTAATCAAAACAACAACAACACGTAAACCTCTAAACAAAATATTGAAACAAACGAAACGAAATACGCTACAAAGACATAATGTGTCATGACGCAGTGGACCCAGGCGCTCGTCACTTTTTTGGTCATATGGAGTTATTGGCATCATCTTAAAGGTTATTTATTTCCCTTTGCTTTCCATGAAAAAAATATCCTTTAGAAGAGAAATTGACGAGAAAATGGCCGTCAAAGTTTGGTGACTTCCATAGCTTAAGAGTCCTTGGAAACTGCAAATTTACATTTTTGTGCCTTTAACTTAAATCAACATTTGCGCTGATATGACCTTGTGCAGTTGCGAGCGCCGTAAAACCCTCTACTAAAACTTAAATCAACATTTAAACAAATGAAATCCACTCAGAAATGTGTTTTTAAATGGACATACAAGGTGTTGAGCCAAAAAAAACCCAAACAATTTTAAAGAAAAAAAAAATGTCCTAACTGACCAAGAATTGCTGATTTCTCGGATTTCATTATTTTGACGAGCCCCTGATTTCCCTATGCTGCCTCATATAATATTATTCTGCTTTACTTCCACACCAGAGGTTCATTATGTCGTCTCCGCTTTGTTTCCCGCTCACAGGTCCTGGAAGAGCGGTCCGCCTGGGACAAATGCGCCAAGGCCTTCGTCCGTGAGCGCAGACGATTCATCGAGAACCAGCGGCAACCCACGGACACGGTCAAGGACAAACTCTCCAGCTTTTTCAAGTTCTGGAGCAAGAACCAATCACACGACGAGTTCACCTGAACGCCACGCCTCGTCACCGTCGAGACTCCGCCCACATTCCAATTTAATTGTGCGGCAGACATTATGACGTCAAAAAGACTCCTCTCTCGTTCCTTGTAAGACGCGCCTGCGTTGAGTCAACTCATGGATCTCTCACACTCTTTGAGAAGACAAAAATCTTGTTTTGGTGTCCGGGAGACTGCGATGTCAACCATCCACCTATCAAGAAACAAACAGTGTTGATAGGGGCGTTAAACTTAGCGTCCTTTTAACATGATGATGAGAATACGACCGTGTGCAGTTGCGAGCGCCGAAAAACTCTTACTAAAACATGACAAGATCCTAGATTTGTTGTGGTGAAACCTATCGGCACTTAAATGACCAAAATTGAGTCGATAGTGCCGTAAAACACCTACTCAATCAATCAACCAATCATGTTAAACCTGTACCATTTCACCATTTTGTTACAGCCCAAACTCCGCCCATGAACGGACTCATTGTGTTTGGTGATTGGTTGGACCGACTTACTTGATTCAAGATTCCAGTCTTCTCATTGGAGGAGATTGCAACCAATCAGGAAAGAGACCTCGCGCTGTTTCACTCAGCCGTGTGTGGCTGACAGTTTTACTTCAAGAAGGAAATTTCAGTTGCGGCGATCTGCTCTGCTTGTATGATTCTTCAAGATGAACAAACGATTCCCATTTTCTCTGGTGGCTTTCAGGCCTCCCAGGAATGTGTGCTAAATTGTGTGAGGCCAAAGCTTTATAAAGACTTGACCATTCTCTGCTTTCTGCTGTACACAACTGGTTATCAAAATGAGAATCTTAACGTTCTTGATTATAAGGGAAATGACATTAGCTTAATTAAGCCTATCCGTACGTCGTGTTTTACTATCGCATCCATACGACGGGGGGAACTTTGTGCCACCACCTCCTAAAGAGAAAATTTACTCGTTAATCCGATCCGTACGCTTTGCATAGCAGTCTGTCAAAATGATTTTTTGAGAAATACTGAAAGTTTTGAAGAGATCTTCGCTCTAGAAGTATTCTAAAATGTGAAGAATACAATCCCGGGGGTACAAAATGACCCCGTGGCGTACGGATAGGGTTAAGACGCCAATGGTTTACTTGTGTTGACATTGTCCTGGGTAGAAAAAAACGCCTTGAATATTGACGCTGCTGAGAACCGACCTTCTGATGGTACCTATGAAGAACTGTACCAGCTTGTCTTATCTGACAAAATGAGTTACTTCTCGGCTTTCAGCCTTATGGAAATTGATACATCTACTTGGTAGGTGAAGTTTGTACAATTTGGGGGCATGGAATAATAAAAGATGCAGTAATCTTGAACAAAATGTCATCAATTGAAAATCTATAAATCTGACCCCCAGTGTCTATTGTCCGCCGATATCTCTATTCTTGGATCGTGAAAAGTAACTCATTTTGTCAGCACACTTCACCATTCTTTTCTTTTTCCCAAACAGTGGTTTGCTTGATGTGCCATAGAATCCATGTAAACTTTTCTGTACTATTATTTTTATACAGGATCTGTCCTGACTTCAAAGGAACCGACATTATTGGGTGGTGTCGGTGGCCTAGTGGTTAGGCTACCGGACTCGTAATCGTGAGATTGTCGGTGGTCTAGTGGTTAGGCTACCGGACTCGTAATCGTGAGATTGTCGGTGGTCTAGTGGTTAGGCTACCGGACTCGTAATCGTGAGATTGCGGGTTCGGGGGTTCGAGCCTCAGCTCGGTCCGACGTTGTGTCCTTGGGAAAGGAGGCACTTTACACGAGTTTCCCACTTGGCTCGGTCCTTTCGGAGATGAACGTTAAACTCGGAGGTTCCACAGCCTCTTAAATAACCTAATAGTGTTTTCATAGGGGCGTTAAACCTATACTTTTTTTTATACCGACATTATTGTTCCCAGACAGGCTACTCAGTCCCTGCTACACGGGAACAAGAAAGGACTTGTTTACTTGTAATTTGACATCATTTGGACATTTTTTCTCGTCCCAAGAGTTCAGGAAGGTTTTTTATTATGCACTTAAATTTTTTAATCAACATTTTTTAAATGTAAAAGTTTTATTTTTACGTTGTGTGTGTGTGTGTGTGTGTGTGTGTGTGTGTGTGTGTGTGTGTGTGTGTGTGTGTGTGTGTGTGTGTGTTTAAAGCTGAAAAGTGCCTTAAGGGGATTTCTACATTTACAGTCCTCGATGTTGAGTGATGGCGTCTTTTTGCCAAGTCTTGACAAAGAAAACAGTAGGCCTACATTAATTTAAACATTCTTTATGCATACAAAACCCGCCAAGATAGCCAGCAATGGCTTTGATAATTGGTCGCTTTTAAGCACAAGGGGGCTATCCAGAAAAACGCTGTTTTAAGAAAATCGAACGTAAAGTTTTTGCCCCTTGTTCAGTTTCTTTAAAAGACTAGGAGAGTTCCCTCTATAATCAAACAAATATACACACCAATGAAACCAAACTTCTCCTATAGGTAGGGCAATGCCCACTTTTGGTGTAGGTCAAAATTTTTGGAAACCGCCGAAATCTGAGTTAGCCTGCTTGTCCTTAAAAGCGACCAATTATTATGATGTAATTATGTCTGATTTGACATTCTGACTCGTGCTGTGCAGAGTGGCGACAGTTCACAAGTACACCTTTCACTACCTCGGAGTTACGAGTTCTATCTGCTCAATTCCTAGTTTTGAGAAATTTGACGTCAAAGATTTTGAGTTTCGCATCATGTCAAGCTTTATCAAATGCAATTCTTTGAATATATTGATAACGACTTTGAATATTCTAACAACCTTCACAAAGCAGTTAAAACATTTGATTGGGTTTTTTAAATTTCGTGGTCTTAGTAACTCAAAAATGAAAAAAAAAGCCAGATAAATCTATGTAATTCTGAGATAACGTTTTGACTGCACTTGTTTTGTTATGTTTTGTGATGCTTGAAAAACAAGACAATGCCATGTTTACGCTGCTAAAGGAGACCACACTCAGACAGTAACATGTTTATTATTATCACTGAAAATAAATCTTCCAGTTGTGTCTACTCCTGTGGGCACCCCAGGATAAAAAGCCATAATATATATATTATATATTTGCTTTGACTTTTGTTTTATTATTTGGAAAACAACACTTTAGTTTACTTTAGTTTACTTTAGTTTACTTTACTTAAGTGTATTCTGCTTTACTTTCCTTTACTTTCCTTTCCTTTCCTGTATTCTGCTTTACTTTACTTTACTTTACTTAACATTCATGTAGTCTGCTTTATTCTACTTTATTCTACTTTATTCTACTTTATTCTACTTTATTCTACTTTACTTTACATAAGTTACTCTTCTTTCCTTTCCTTTCCTTTCCTTTCCTTTCCTTTCCTTTCCTTTCCTTTCCTTTCCTTTACTTTATTTTACTTTACTTTACTTTACTTTACTTTACTTTACTTTACTTTACTTTCCTTTCCTTTCCTTTCCTTTCCTTTCCTTTCCTTTCCTTTCCTTTCCTTTCCTTTCCTTTCCTTTCCTTTATTTTACTTTACTGTATTCAGCTTTCCTTTCCTTTCCTTTAGAGATTAAAGAGGGTGCTCTCGTGGCCTAGAGGTTAAGGTGTTGGCCTCTCATTCAAAGGTCCCGGGTTCGAATCAGGGTAGCCACCGAAAAATTTTCTTCTCTAAAATTGTCTCCTTTCACCTTCTTTCCTGCTCTCTAGCAATGTTCTGTTGTCTGCTTTCATTTCCACTTTCTGCCCCCACCCCCTCACCTCCTTTGCCTCCTCCTCTGGGCTTCTGACTCTTTCTGCAGCCTTTATACTGTTACTCCTTGGCTCCTCCTTACTGCTGTCTTTCTGCCACACCCCTGATCTTCTGGTAGGAAAGATCTACACCTAGCCTTCTCGGACAAGGGCGAAAGATCTCGGAGGGCCCCTGAGCAAGTTGCGCACGTTAAAGATCCCTTGGTGGTCTAAAATCGATAAGAGTAGGCTTCGGCCGCCACCCGGGCAAAATTCAAAATTTCCTACCAACTGAAAATATTAGGTGTGTCCCGCGCGCTCATATGACCTTATGCAGTTGCGAGCGCCGTAAAACACTTTACAAAAACAAACAAAGAGATTAAAGTATATTACGTGTTTAGATCACTTTCACTCGCTTCACTCGGTCGTGATTTAAACATCGTAATATTATAATGATCTCTAAACCTCTAAAATCAGTAAGTGAGAATGAGAGCGAGAATATGTAAATGATGGAAATAAAAAATAAAAAAATATGAAAAAAGAATAAGTTAGAGTTTAATATATTAATTTATGCATTAAAAACGGAAGATATGTATTGCCTTAAGTGTAAGCAACGAACCAAAACGAAAAATATTCAACAGTTAGATAATAGATTGAAAGAAAAATGAGTGATTTGTAATTAAATGAAAAATCGATTTATAACGAGAGGTAAGGGATTAGCGTCTGGAGCCCTTCCTGCAATCTCTTGTTAAGTGTTACCTGCTTTGGGTATCGGAACACTTACCGGTATCGGAACACTTACCGGTATCGGAACACTTACCGGTATCGGAACACTTACCGGTATCGGAACACTTACCGGTATCGGAACACTTACCGGTATCGGAACACTTACCGAAGCCGTACAAACTGGAGTACACAACATTTTCTAGCTCATCCTCAGTATTTTCTAGCTAATATAAAATATATTTTCTTGCTCACTCCTAATATTTTCTAGCTTGTCCCCTGTATTTTCCAGCTCAGCCACAGTGTTTTATAGCTCCATTCTCAATATGTTTAGGCTTATCCCTAATATCTTTTAGCTCATACCCAGCATTTTCTAGCTGATCCTCAGTATTGTCTAGCTCAACTCTAATATTTTCTAGATCATCCCCATTAATTACTATCTCATCTGCAATACTTTTTATGTCATCCCCAGTATTTTCCTGCTTGGTCCCCAATATTTTCTAGCTCGTCCTTTATATTTTCTAGCTAGTCCCCAGTATTTTTTTAAAGCTCAACCCTAATATTTTCTAGCTCAACCCTGATAATTTCTAGTTCATCCCCAGTACTTTCTAGCTCATCCCAAGTATTTTATAGCTCAGCCTTAAAATTTTCTAGCTCATTCCCACTATTTTCTAGCTCAACTACAGTATTTTCTAGCTTACCCCCACTATTTTTGAAAATTCTAACTGGTCACCAACTTTTTCTAGGTCATCCCTTAATATTTTTTATCTCAACTCAAATATTTTTTAGTTCATCAACAACATTTTCTAGGGGCTCTCGTGGCCTAGAGGTTAAGGTCTTCGCCTCTCATTCAAAGGTCCCGGGTTCGAATCCAGGTAGCGACCGAAAAATGTTCTTCTCTAAAATTGTCTCCTTTCACCTCCTTTCCTGCTCTCTAGCAATGTTCTGTCGTCT